AAAAAATTGGGATGTTCCAAGGGTTGGTGTGGACTTGTTGGGCTGAAGGACCTATTTCCACACTAGGGATTCTGTCTAACTCTTATGTTCACATCCAAATCATTAATAAATGATGAAAAGCAGTGGACCCAGCACTGATCCTTGTGGCACACTGTCACCACTCAGTACTTCCTTGTTTTGTTACTACTCCCAAAGGCACTACCATTTTTTCCAGGATTAAGTTCCATTTGCAACTGATCTGCCCAACCTATACCCTCCTGTAACCAAAGATTATCTTCACTGCTAAGCACCCAGCTATCTTATTGGCAAGCTTGTTCTTTTGCCCCTGCTCCTTTTCTATATTATTCATCATGTAATGAGCAAAAGGAACCCAGCACTAATCTATGGTCAGTGGACTCCAGCCCTCGGCACCACCCTTTGTTTTCTTACCACTAAGCCAACTTTGGATTGTCTTTACTTTATCACTTACCCATGTGGGACCTTGTCAAAGGCTTTGCTGAAATTAATAAAAATTATATTAACTGCATCACTCTTCTACACACCTGGACACCAACTTGCAAAGCTTTCAGAATTTCATGTTGGTTCTTTCTGATTATTCCCCTCCCAGTGGAGATTGATCCTCTCCTTCAGAATTTTCTCCAATAAGTTCCCTACTACTGAGATTCATTTGGTTTATCTCCATCACCCTTAAACTGGAACCACACTAGCTGTCATGCAGTCCTCCAGCATTGCCTCTGGCCAGAAAAGAATCACATTTGGTGCTGTCCTCTAATTTCCTCCCTTGTCTCTTACAGCATCCAGGATGTAAATCATCCAGTCCTGGGCACTTGTCCACTCAAGCCTGCCAATACCTTCTCATTCCTATCAATATGCTCAAGGACTCGAGTCCCTCTTGCCAAAATGTTCCTACTCCTTGAGTGAAGACCAAATTTGAAGTACTTGTTTAACATCCTAGCAATGTCATCCAGCTCTGTACAGTTTGCTGCCTTGGCCCTTAATGGGCACTACTCTTTCCTAGTCTTCATACATGTATGGTGCATACCTGTTAAAGTATATTTAGTTCTTCTGTAACCTTTATGGACATATCATGGACTCTTGTTCCACAGGGAACAACAGCAACTAAGATTGACACGACTGTCAGAGGAAAAACTAGTGACAGTCTGTTACAGAACACAAATGGATAATGAAGAATAGCACAAGAGGCCACTTAGCCTAGTGTCTATACTGTTCAACAAATAAATGCACTCAGTGCCATGAGGGTATTGGGTGGTGGGTGGTGGGGGCAGAGAGGTGAAGAGTTGTGATTTTAAAATAGAAACAATCAACTAATACACTTGTTTAAATGCTTCAATGAACATGCCTCCTGTACATAACCAGGCAGTGCTCTTCAGACACTTTCCATGCATTATAGAAAAAATGTTTTGCACCACACTTGCTTCTCTGGCAAATCAGTTTAAATCTTCCCCTCATTCTTGATCCTCTTTGGAGCAAGAACAATTTCTCCCTAACCACTCTCCAGCCCCCTTGTAATTTTTCCCAAACTTTTCAGATCTGCTCTTGGCTGCCTTTCCTCTCCAAAGAATAGTTCCAGTGTCTCCAATGTATTCTCATAACTGAAGTTTGACATCCCTAGAGTCTTGTCAATTCCTTCTGCACTGTATCATGCATTCTTTCATACAGTTGGCACCCAAGTGTTGTGTACACATTCCCAATATCCATTTAATATACTAATTGTACACAGTCTGACACTTTCACTTTTATGAATATTTTTGCCATCTGACATTGTCAACTGTAATAAAAACCAAAAGAACTGCTGATGCTGTAAATTGGCAACAAAAACAAAGTTGCTGGAAAAGCTCAGCAGGTCTGGCAGCATCAGTGAAGGAAAGAGTTAATGTTTTGGGTCTGGTGACCCTTCCTCAGAACTGTATTTTCAATTGCAATGCCTGGAGTTTGTATTAAATTTGTGGCAGTTAATTACAAGTGATTTGCATGGTTAACTATATAGTCCTCTCTCTCTTTCTTTTACTTGGATATAATCCAGTATTTTAAATTTATTTTCTACTTCTCGGGCTAAACAATCATTTTGGCCAGTGACTTGATGATTAGAGGTGGACTTTCTTGTGGGATAGAGAAGCTGATTTTTAATCTTTGGAATTTTAAAAGTGTATTCATGAGTACTTATGCAATGAAAATTTTTGTTTCAGGGCTAGAGACCTTCAGCCAATTGGTGTATGAAGATCAATATGATACTGTAAGCATTTCAAGAATTTTTGGCTTTGAAAGATCTAAACTGTAGAATAGATTTTCCATGGCTCTTGTGTCAATGTTTTACAAATTTAATGATACCAATTTTGTGCTGTAACTTTGGTTCCTCTGACACTTTTTTAAAATGAGCTGTAAGTGAGCAAATAAAAGCTTAAACTGATCAGCTTGCATCAATTTGTTACAAGTGTTCAGCAATGTATTTGTATACCAAATGTAAAATTGCAATATTGCCTTTGTACAAAGGGTGCATTCCTATCCTTGACCCTATATTGTATTTCCCTGTTTAACTGAAGTTGCTGATGTATGATTCGTTTCACTTGTGTAGGATTACTTACCCACTACTTCTTTACATGTGAATTGGTTCTAGTGATTACAGTAAGTAGAAAAATGACTTTTTTTAAAAACTTAGTCATTTTTAGACATTCCTCAGCTCGGTCCAAAAACCATGTTTAATGTAGGTAACCTTTGCAGGCAGCAACTTAACCCTTTAAGTTTGTGTACAGCTGTGGCATCCTGTGCTACAACTTTAAAGCTAGAGGATATGTTTGAAAAGGCATGAAGCTGAGTTTTTTCTGATCAGGATATGATAAGATTCCACCTAATGTGGGCCACAACCAGCTAGTAAAATGATATTCTCCCTTAAACAGAAAAATTTTGTTTTCTTGCATAAGGTTTTAACAGGAAAACGTCTTGCTAAGAGTCAGCAAGAGGCTTCTCTTGCATGCATTATCATCTTGTTGCAGAATCCCACCTCACTTGTATGCAATTTGCTATTTTTATTAGGTAGCAGAAAGAAACTTTATGGTGACTGAGTTTCTGGTCAGGAACTGGTATGTAGTGATTAGTAACATGTTGCTTGCAGGCCTCCATCTTTCCCAGCATTCCCTAACCTCTCAGGCCATGCTCCATAAATAACCACTTGCATCTTCTGCAGAAGTTGGCATTGGGCACATACTAGCCTTGCCATACTTCATTGCTGCACTTCAGAGCACTCTGACACCTTTCATTGTAATCCTGCTGTTGGCCACACGTCTTGCATCTTGGAGCTCTTGGCTTGTACTCGTGCTGCTTACTCACTTGTCCATCTGTTTTGAATACTTACAATGTGTCTTGGCTTTTGAATTTTGCCTCTGTTAAACTTACAGCTACACAGACAAAGGCAGACTGATTTTTTTTTTTTAAAGCAGTGATCAGTCAACTAGGTAGTTGTTGCTGTGCAGTATGTACTTCAAGCAAGTTGCCATCTTCCATAGTTAGAGACTTGGGTCCCATCAATGACAAAATGCATTCAGTGGTCAATAATGGAAAAACAATTATGATCATGTCAATCTGAAGTAAGATTGATGCTAGACCATAAATTGCATCTGTCACTTTGGATAAGGCAATCCAGGATTCTATCCTCTGCATTGGAAGTAGTAACAGCTCAAGCTGAAGGGGTGGGGGGTGCGGGGGGGGGGGGGGGGGGTGTGGAGATCAGCTCCTTGCTCCAATGTTTTGTGTGCAATGCTGTGCATTTTTGTGTGAAGGATAACTTTTTTAGACAACTTTTTTTTGTCACTTTCTTGTAGATACAAGATTTGTGCTGCACTTGTCAGAATAAGGTCTTTGTCAAAGCTCCATGAAGATGATTATATGGTCCTCCTTGTCAGGCTTACACATGCTATTGTAGCAAGAGCTAGGCTACAATGTCAATTGTGACTGCTCCCACTAAAAAGGACATGTTCTGTTTGTTTTGCCACAATTTCTTTGGCACTATGACCAATGGATCCAGCTGAAGCCAGGCTGATTGCCACTGCCTGTAGTACAATGAGGTACAGACACATATTTGGATCAGTAGCAACTACCAAGCAGCTCTATGAAAATTTTAAAAAAAAAAAAAAAAAAAATTTGCTAAAACTGACAAGGCCTATACTTGGACTACATTTGCACCACTGCAAAGTTCTGGGTCTCTTTTTAATAGTTGCTTTGGAGGCAGGGCAGAGAAGATTTTGCCTAGGCCACTCTAATTTAAAGGGATTTTCTTATGGCAGTCTAAGTCAGTCATCTATTATTAAATAGCAAGGTGTGGAGTAGGCCAGGCAGCATCAGAAGAGAAGGAAAGATGTTTTGGGCTGGGGGTGGTGCTTGACAAGGTAGATATAGCAAAGCATAGGACAAATAGGCATACACGCAGTAAGGGGTTGCATATCCTGAGATTAAGAATCTCTTGGGTCATAAATCTATGGAATTCTTTAGCAGACTGTAAAGGCTGCAGCATAAGTATATTCAAGGCTGAGGGATTTTTAAAACTGGTAAGAGAATTAAGGGTTATGGGAGGGGGAGACATTAGGAAAGGAGTTGAAAGTTTATTAATTCACCATGATCTCCTTGTGTGCTCCACTATTCAATGGGCTGAATGACCTACATCTGTTCCTAATTCCATAGTATTAGGGTGTTTAAATTCCAGTTAAAGATTCCCCTCCAAATCAATAAACCTTATGTTTTCTATCATCTGGCTCATCTCCTTCAGCTGAGTAAGGCCTCTTGCTGCTGTAGACAAGAAATGGCTAGAAATACTATTACAGAACTCTCCTCAGCTGGAGCAGATGAAGTGGCCATGTTTAACTTTTATGTAGATAGATGGCCTCATTTGTCCACCTTCAACTCAAGTATTTTAAATCTGCAACCTGAACAATAAGCTTGCCAGTACAGCTGGATTTCCTCAGGTGTAGGATGCTTTAATCTAACTTGTGTAGTTCCGAGTGTCATATCATCCCAGGCCAGACTTCAACAAAAATCTCCATTCAGTAACTATTCACATATTGGTGATCATCAGTACCACCTCCTAGCTGTCTACACAATACCCTGGCTACTGCCATGATTTAATAATTCCAGGTTCCTGTTAACATTTCAAGATCCACATGCTTTGCAATGATAGCTGCTGTGTTTATCTCAACTCAACCTGAAACTAAGGCATGGACCCTATTAATGTGATTTTATAGCTGCTCATTCAAGTCAGTTTTATTTTTTGCGGTTTTTTTTTTGCCTTTTTCCTGATTTCTTCCCCATATCCTCTTTAACCCCTTTAGCTTTTAAAAGCTAAACATTCAATGATTTGGCTTCAACCATCCTGTAGCAGGGAATTCCACAAGCCCACCACCTCTGAAGAAAGTTCTCTGTCCTAAATTTGCTTACCTTTGTCTTTTGAAGTGTGATCATGGTTCTAGACTGCCAGGTCATTGGGAACATCGTTCCTGTGTTGACCCTGTTTAATCCTATGAGAATTTCATGTCTTTCTGAGATCATCATCTGTCTGTCTTCTCCCTTTTCCCCTACCCCCCCCTCAATTCTTAAACTCCATTGAATGTTGTTCTGACAGATCCAGTTTCTCCTTTTTCCCAGAATTTGCTCCATAGCCAGAGCACTTTTGCCAAGGTCTCAGATGCCCTGTACAATTGTAGCAAGATATCCCTGCTATTGTAATCCAATCTCATTATGATGTGCAACATACCATTTGCTGCCTTTAACTACCTGCATGCTTGCTTTTAGTGACTGTACAAGGACACCTAGGTCTCATTGCACCACTCCTTTCCCCATTTATTGCCATTCTGATAATCTGTCTTCCTGTTTTTGTTATCCTAATCTGCAAAGTATTTACTTTAAAACATACTGAAGCATCTCTGCATCTACCTCGCAGTTCACCCTTTACAGCTAGCTTTTATGTTGTGTGCAAACTTGGAAACTTTACATTTAGTTCCCTCATCTAATTGTTAATATATTAAATGACTGGCTTGACCTTGCAACACCCTGCTGGTCACTTGGAGTGTGTGAAATGCAGGGGAGAGACTTCTTTATAGAATCAAAGGACTGTACAGCATGGAAACAGACCCTTTGGTCCACTTCTGCCTAAATTAATCTAGTCCTGTTGGCCAGCATTTGGCCTGTATCCCTCTAAACCTTTCCTATTCATATACCCATGCAGATGGGCTCTAATTGTGCAGCCTTCACTGCCTCTGGCAGCTCATTCCATAAACACACCACCCTCTGCCTGAAGAAGCTGCCCCTTGGATCCCTTTTTAAATCTTTCCCCTCTTACTTTAAATCTATGCCCTCTAGTTTTCAATTCTTTCCTTGCCACCTTAGGCAAAATACCTTGTCTATTCCCCTATCCATGCCCCTCATGATTTTATAAACTCCTCAGCTTCCAACACTCCAGGGAACATAGTCCCAGCCTATTCAACCTCAACCTCTCCCTCTCCCTCTAGCTCAAACCATGGCAATATCTTTAAGCCTTTCCTGCACTCTTTCATATTTCACAACTTGCTTCCTATAGCAGGGACACCAGAATTGAATGCAGTATTCTAAAAGTGGCCTAACCAATGTCCTGTACAGCTGCAACATGACCTCCCAACTCCTTTCCCCAATGCACTGATCAATAAAGGCAAGTGTACCAAACACCTCCCTCATTATCCTGACTACCTGGGACTCCACTTTCAAGGAACTGTGAACCTGCATTCCAAGGTCTTTGTTCAGCAACACTGCCCAGGACTTTACTATTAAGTATGTAAGTCCTGCCCTGATTTGCCTTTCTGAAATGAAGAATGCCACGTTTGTCTAAATTAAACTCCCTCTGCCATTCTGATCAAGGTCCCATTGTGCTTTGAGGTAACCTTTGCTGTCCACTACACCACCAATTTTGGTGTCATTTGCAAAATTACTAACCATATCTCCTGTGTTCACATCCAAATCACTTGTGTAAATGATGAAAAGCAGTGGACCCAGCACTGATCCTTGTGGTATACCACTGGCCACAGGTCTCCAGTCTGAAAAGCAACCCTTGCTCTCTGCCTCCTACTTTTTTTTTTTTTTTTTTGAGCCAGTTCTGTATCCAAATGGCTAGTTCTCCATGTATTGTGTGATCTAACCTTACTAACAAGTGTACCATGCAGAACCTTGTCAAACACCTTACTGAAGCCCATAGATCACATCCACTGGTCTTCCTTCATGAATCCTCTTTGTTACTTCAACAAAAACCTCAATTAAGTTACTGAGACAATGTGCTACGCACCAACCTATGTTGACTATCCCTAATCAGTTCCTGCCTTTCCAAATATGTGGAAATCCTGTCCCTCTGGATCCCTTCCAACGACTTGCCCAACACTGGTGTCAGGCTCACTGATCTATAGTTCCCTGACTCTTCCTTACCACCTTCCTAAATAGTGGCACCATATTAGCCAACTTCCAGTCTTCTGATACCTCACCTGTGGCTATCAATGATACAGATATCTCAGGAAGAGGCCCAGCAATCACTTCCTAGCTCTCAAAGTTCTAAGGTAAACCTGATGGGTCTGAGGGAATTATCCACCTTAAATTTTTGAAAATTTGTAGCTTGGGTTGTGGATGAGGTTGTAGACTTGCTCGCCAAGCCAGTGCGTTTGATTGCAGACGTTTTGTCACCCTGCTCGATAACATCGTCAGTGTGCCTCCGGTGAAGCATTGGTATTCTGTCCCGCTTGTTATTTGTACGCCTGTTTGCTGAGGTAGCTAGCATCACTTCCAATTTTGGTTTAGTGGTTTGTATATCGGGTCCAGTTCAATGTGTTTATTGAAAGCGTTCCGGTTGGCATGCCAGGCCTCCAAGAATTCACTGGCGTGTCTGTTTGGCTTGTGCTATTAGGGATGTGTTATCCCAGTCAAATTTGTGTCTTTCTTTTTTGTGTTTATTACTACTTTGTTCCCTGTCGATACACCACCCCAAATGAGCTCATTTAGCTCAGTCAGCTGCTTTGCAATGCAGAGTAATGCTGACGGCATGGGTTCAATTCCTACACTTGCTGAGGTTACCGCAAAGGTCCTTATTTCTAACCTTCTCCCCTTGCCTGAGGCATGGTGATCCTCTAGTTAAACTACAATCCGACATTCCTCTCCAGTGGGTTAGCACCCCTATGTGTTATGACAATGGTAACTTTACTGCCTCCAATCCCATGAGCTTTAATTTTGTGCTAACCTCTTATGTGGGACTTCGTTGAAAGTTGAAGTAAACCACATCCACTGGTTCCCCCTTGTCAACTCTTAAAGTTTCAAAACACCATCAATCCCTTTAACTAAGCAGAGTGTAGCTACATTACAGCCAGTTCTGCC